GGGCGAGCCGGTGGGTCAGGTGCACGCTCTCCGTGTCACGCCGTATGAGGGGTCCCACCAACGCGGAGTATAGTCTGTCGGCGGCGTGCGGGCGGGTAGCTGCCCGGCCCCACCTGGGAAGGTGCGGGAGGTGAGAGCGTGGCCCTCCCGCCCCGCACCGCGCAGGCGCAGACCCGGCACTGCTAAAATCTTCACTTCACTTTGGGACCGTCCCCATTGGGGGGTCCCCATTGTCCTGTGGTTGTAAAGCAATGCTTTCCTACGCTTTGCGAAATTGTGAAGGATTTGGACGCCTTGTAGAATACGATAAATCTAATTTGCACACTGACAGAAATGTATTTCAACTGCAAATGAAAATGTTTTGTAGTGTACAAAAGCGAGCTTCAAACGAGGTTCAATAATGCATCGCAGGAAATTACACTTATGGACACCTAAACATAAAAATCTTATGAAGATAGTTCTTCTCAGATTTTAGGAGGGTGCACCCCTACACAGCCGAAAGCAATTGTCACACACGACGCAACATGGAAAGGGGGAGAGGCGGGTGGAGTAGCTCTGCACTTGAAGGATGCAATTACCATGTTCCACCAGGCTCAGGCGTAACCACGGGAGGGGGGTGGGGCACACTGACCACCACGTTCAGCTGCGAGGAAATGACAATAACTGGGGAGGAGGGAGATGATAAAAAAAGACAAAAGAGCCGGTAGCGCGACGTCGACGCACCGCTGTGCTTTTCCCCTTCCTGAAATCATTCGCCAAACAAACAAAACCTTCACAGCAGGGCACGGCACGGCGCCGGGCTCGGGCTGAGCGTCGCGATGGGTGTCCTTTAATTACCCAGACGCCACAGCACGCCTACCTGAAGGACGCGCAATAATTGTTTTTTTTTTTATTGAGGAGGGTATGTATTTAATGAGACGCACTGTTAAAAATACAAATCTTCCCGCTTTCTTACTGACATTGAAATTATGTAGAATTGTAAAGGTTTTTTGGCTGAAATTTCAAAACTTGAATTGACTGAAAATTTGAGTAGCACAGTACAAGAGCAGAACAAAAATTCCAGCACATGACAGAGTTGGACGCCAGTTGTCCCATCCTAGCAGGAGCGGGGAAATCGTACTCCAACTGTTAAGTGTAGGAGTACTTGGGACTGCCCTTGCTTTACACTTTCAGAGTTAATAATCGCTGTCCCGGGCTAGGCGCATCCGGGCGCGTCGCCACCTAACAATTTTTTCGTGAGATATCGCAAAGCCTGTTATGCGAAGAGTGGTCTAGTTTTATTGAAATGAAAAGTTGAAATCACCTGAGCTACCCGCACGCTGGTGGGCCCCAGACTGCGATCGCGCCTTCTTCTTTTCAATGCACACGTTGAGCATCTGTGGAAAAAATTAAACGAGGAATATTTAAGATGCGCCTAGTCATCATCCTGTTCAGTGAGAGCGGTTAGTAACACTGTGAAAAATATATTTTGTACATGTACGATATATTTTGTAATTTATCGTGTAATTTACGAGTCGTACACGTACAACCTTCCACTGTCGCTCGATATTCGATTCCAAGTCGATACATAGGGCTAGTAAATTGTACAATTTTAGATTGTACTTGTACGACTTCTTCCATGGAAAGTTTTCCTGTACCCGGTACGACAATTATTTTTCACAGTGAATGTTTGGCGGCTCACCTGGAGTTTCTGGTGCAGGATGCACGTCTTGTGGTCCGCGAAGCCGGGCCGCACGCTGCAACAGACACACGACGAGGGGGTTGGGTTAGCGTTACCGAACAGGAGGCGGCGACACAAACAAAACATCGGGGGGTGCGTGCGCGCACTGCGCACGCGGACAGTTTAGAGAGAGTGCAGAGCACCCGCTGCGCTCGCGCGGCTCGCTGCTGCTGTGTTCTGTCCCAACTCCATCGACGAGCATTATATTGGGCTGGCTTTACGTAAGTGCGCCACGCGGACGGAAGCACACAGCGCGCCGCACCGCCCGGCCGGCACGCGCACCACGCACCACGGGGCTGGTCGGCAAGCAGCGCACGCGGACCGCACGCCACGCGTTATTATTATCTGCCTGCAGTCTGTGCGACCAAGCGGCGTGTATGCAGCGGCGGTGCAGCGTCCAGTCCATCGCCCCCGGCAGCGTTGGCCAGGGCGGCCAAGCCCGCGCAGCGAGGGGAAGGGATGCTCCAGTGCGCCCGCCAGGCCTAGCCCGCCACCAGACCAGGGAGATGATAACAAGTGGGAAGCCTACGCCTCACTAGCATAAACGCGAGCAATAATCTCTAAATGATGAGTAATTGGGAGAATTTCAGACAGTCCCCAGGACTTACTCTACCGCAGTAGAAAAGGTCACCCCCACCTCACCCCCCCCTTTTTTTTTTTCTAAAGATTTATTTTGATTGCAACCACGAGACAAATTTCCATCAGATATTCACAGGTGAACATCTAAGATAGAGGTACAAAATTATCCTTTACATGCATTGGGTATCTCCACGTATTGCGCTGCGCATCCCCTCAGTAACTGATGATGAGGGCCATGGTCCTTCGAAATTGGGGCAACGGCTTTGGCCTACGGGAATGGGCTCTTCTTTCAGAAAACCCTTCCAACGCCTTTCAAAAACAAAAACAATTATTTTCTTCAAAAAGTTCACGTTTTTGCGATTTGATGATCTCCTGATTTTAGGAGGTTAATTTTTTGAACTAAAATGCTCATTTTGGAACATTCTGTCTTTTGATAGTACCGAACGACTCTCCTTCAATTTTCAGATTGCAAGCACACTCTGATCTCGATTTTAAATTGTAGCAGTGGCAGTCAAAATGTTTTTACTTTCCTCCCTTCTTTTTAAATCTGTATACTTTTCTTAGGCAGAAAACTATACGTCGTGGAATTCCAGGGATGTTATAGCACCGTCCGCCGACATGACTGTACAGCATTTGACTTATGCTCCCCGCCCCCTCCCCCTCTCCAGTTATTCTGTTATGCCGCCGCGGCGCCGGGCCCGTCAGGCGCACCCTGCAATTTCTTTCGTTCTTTTATTATTTCCTCTAAGAGGCAAGGGCCTCAGCTGCAGCTGTGCAGCCGCTGCAGATGCTCGCAGCTGCGCACCGCCGTCGGGACGCTTTGGGCCCCGCAGCTGGAATGCACCGCGCGCACACGGGTTACCGGTGGAGCCCTATAACAAAGTAGGTGGCTTAGCGGAGCTCGGATTATTTCGACAAATAATAATGCTTTTTTTTTCGGATGGAATTGCGAAAACTACTTGGGTTTGGCCGAAGCAGGGGTCAGCACCGTGATGAGAGCCGAGCTCCGGGCCGCAGCTGCAGCAGCTAGCTCGAGCTAGCTGCCACTCCCGCTTCCTGCGACCCTCGCGCCCGCGGGGGGACGGGCCCCGCGGGGCCCTTCGGGGGCACACCTGCAGGTGGGCGCCTGTCACCGCGGGCACCCCAGAGAGGGCCTCAGCCGGCACATCCTCCGCCTCACCTTGGCGTTATTGTCAGCAGCGCCGAGCCCCGCCCGCGACAAAGGTGCTACTTATGCTCAGCGCCCCGCCCGGGCCGCCCGGCGGCGCCAGGCGGCAGCAGATGCGCCGGCAGCGCCGCGACCCCGATGCGAAAATCGGAACAACAACAACAACAACCGGTGACGCAGAAGTAACAGAGGGGCTCGCGAGGGTAATCGTCACGAAGCGGCCCTGACAGCCAGCCGCATCTGCAGGTGATGCAAAGTTCACCCCTATCGCATGTGGCGGCTGGCGCGGGCTGGCGGCACAGCTGCAGCGGCCAGCGGGGCGGCCCACCACACGACAATGTCACAACACCGGTGCTTGCCCGCTCACGCTGGCGTGAGCGCAGCGTGAAAACGACCAAATTCTTAACTGGATACAGCACGGGACCGCTGAACTTTGCGACAGAGTACGGGATGGGAGCGGCAGGCGGCGCGCTCTATAAAGGCAAGGCGGCGAGGGTGGCTGCGGCGGCGGCGGCGCTCGCGCGGGAGGTCGCCTCCTTTCCGAAAGAGTGGATGATGCTCTGGAGAAATTATGCGCTGCCTCTTTATTTCCTCTGCTTCTCTAAAAAGGCTCTTGCAGTTTGGGTCTATCTCCTAGTAGCGCCGCGACTCCACGCCGCACCGGGCCCCCTCTACTCGCGCGCGTGGCTTCCGGCCAGCATCTACCCTTTCTCTCCCTCTCCCTCTCTCTCTCTCTCTCTCTCTCTCTCTCTCTCTCTCTCTCTCTCTCTCTCTCTCTCTCGCGCGCGCGCTCTCTCCCTTCTTCCTTCCCCTTTCTCTCCCTCTCCCTCTATCCCGGCCAGTGTGACACTTAGGTGCAAATGTTGGAACCTGCGGCGCATTCCTTAAGGTGATTACATTTCTTTTCAGGGGCGGAAAGTGAACGACGGCGGAAACGCAGGGCGTCCGCGGATATTCGCCAGAGGGAAAATGAGCTACGGCGGAGGCGCAGAGCGTCCGCTGGAACAAGCACCACACATGACAACCATGACGACGAACGGGCTCCGTCACCCATCCCAATATTGTGGTCGAGAGCAGATGATGGTAAGATATGTCAACTTCACAAAATTTCATTTATTTCTGAGGCCTACTGGGATGCAAGCAATCTCACCATACTTGAGAATGTGACGAATATGTACCTAACCTACTAGTACGTTATGGTAAACATGGAATAATTCTTTTATATTTAAATCGTCTTTTGTAGGTTTGGTCTATGATGGGGAAATAGAGTCGGATCCCGAGTCAGGCAGCGGCGACAACGACACGGACTCTGAGGGGGAGG